CTGCTGAGAGAATGCCTGAGGCAGCAGCAGACATGGGAGGAAGTTCAAACAGAGGAAGTGCTATGGCAAGACAAGACCATGCATGGGATGTACCATCAACAGATAGCTGAGGTGGCTGACCACTGAGGTAGAAAACGTATCACTGGCTGGAAAGGGCTAGAATAAAAGACAGCACTGAGGCACTGATCATAGCAGCACAAGAACAGGCACTAAGCACCAGATTGATAGAAGCAGGGGTCTACCTCACTAGATAGGACTCAAGGTGCAGGCTGTGCAGAGAGGCCTCAGAGACAGTCCAACACATAGTGGCAGAGTGTAAGATGCAGGCACAAACAGCATATGCTGAACAGCACAACCAAGTAGCTGGCATTGTGTACAAGAACATCTGCACAGTGTACGGGCTAGACTCTTCCAAGTCTAGCCCATACACTGGGCTGGATGGGAGATTTCACCAAAGGTCATGGAGAATACAGGGCTAAGATCCTGTGGGACTTCCAGATCCAGATGGACAGGCAGGTACTGGCCAATCAACTAGACATTGTGGTAGTACACAAGTACCAGAAGAGAGTGGTGGTGATAGATGTAGCAGTGCCAAGTGACAGCAACATCAGGAAGAAGGAGTATGAGAAGATGGAGAAGTACCAGGGCCTGAAGGAGGAAATAGAGAGGATGTGGAAAGTAAAGGCCAGTGGTGGTAGTAGCACTTGGGGCTGTGACTCCCAAGCTGGGAGAGTGGCTCCAACGGATCCCAGGAACAACATCAGAGCTCTCTGTCCAGAAGAGTACAGTGCTAGGAACAGCTAAGATACTGCGCAGAACCCTCAAACTCCCAGGCCTCTGGTAGAGGACCTGAAATTGAGGAAGACACAGACCATCCATAGAGGTGAGAGGGGATTTTTATAATACAAATTCTATATTCTGCTTTCTATAGTTAAATTTCAAGCAGCTTTTATTCCAAAGTGGCTTCTACTATTACCTTCTACATAAATCTCTGCAGAAGTTGAGTCTGTCCCATAGATGTTAGACGCAAAGCACGAGTAACGTCCAGTGTCTTCTTCAAAAGCTTCAACAATAATTAGTGAATGCAGCTGTCCTGACTGGATGATGTGAATATATGGTGAATTTTCAAGTTCTTTCCCTTCACAATACCACCTGAAAAACAAGGCAATCATTTGTCAGCACTTGACAGATGAATGGGAAGACATATTGCAACAATAGCAACAAATCTCTAATCACTGTAAGCCAGTGTTGTCCAAACTTGGCCACTTTAAGATGAGTGGACTTCCACCCCCAGAATTCCCCAGCCAGCATTCTGGCAGTATTCCCCATCCCAGAATTCTGGGAGTTGAAGTCCACTCATCTTAAAGTGGCCAAGTTTGGAAAACACTGCTGTAAGCAGACATTCTCCCTAAATGAAACTAAAACAAAAGGATGAATAACCCGTTGTATTTAGCTGTAGTTAAAAACAGAGCTGCATTCTGTACAAAGTATTTGGATCTTGTTGAACAATGGGAGATGGAACCAGGGTCACATAGTAGTTAGCTTGTTGGTATTGAACTACAAATTCAAGTTTAAATATGCAAAACAGCATGAAATTCATTGAATAATCATAGATCCATTACTATTTCTCAGTAAGAGTTCCTGTATGGGTAAATGGATTGGGAACCATGTATGTTGCCATCCAAGTAAGGTGGATTCAAATTTTGTCCTTAAACAAAGATACATATACATGGGCCATATATACACACAGAATATGGATATATATGGTCATAAAATACACACACACACACGCATGCACACACATATTCTATGATCATATATAAATATATGGACATAGAATAGCCCAAAATAGCTCTAATGGTATTTTGTATGTGTTCATTAATATTGTCTACATGTAAATATGCATCAGAGAAAGTAAATCAACTGTGTTTCACATGCTTGAATAATATATATGAACACTGAAGGATATATCTAGAATATATGTATTTCAGCACTGTTCATTGAATTTCTCTGCTTATACAAACAATGGTGAAAATCTGACTGACGAGATACCTTCTGTATGAAATCTGGGTGGAGGATTCATCCATATAATTTTTTTAACCCTGTTCTATCTATGAATTACTCCACACTGTAATTTGAAAACTGGGGAAAAACCAGTTTTTCCCAATCTGACATTGATTCTGATTCCTATATTTTGCTGCATATCCAGATGGCACTAGAATTATTAAATTTTTGAGTTTAATTGTGCATTTGTCGATTAACTGTCCACTTAGTTCAAGCTAAAACAACCGTTAAATGTTTAAAACAGATGATATAACTTGCAAGCATTTTTGCCAACTGTCTTATACTGAGATTTATTTGCATGTTTAGGAAACTGATCAAATCAGTAATCTACCTGTTCCATCACTGGCTGTAGTTTTCCAAGGATTCAGATAGATACCCATATCCCCTTTACATGAGATTCTTTAGGGTGGAAATGGAAATATTTGAATCTAGTATCTACTAAATCGAAATGATCATACGAGGTGATGGGTCAGGAAAGGCTTGTTGACAGTCATTGTGGTGGAGTAGTTAGTCACTTGTCTATCCTTTCACTCTCACATGTGAACACATACAAAGACATATTTTTGGATTATTGTGATCTGTGAGTCTCACCTTTATGGCATGTTAACCATGGTTTTTAGCTTAATGTTTTTATGAACTACACCAACAGGTTTGTTCCACCATTGCTAAAACAAATTATGACTTAACACAATGAATGAACGTAGCCATTGATGACATCCTTAACAGAACTGGGTTAAAAATACTGACTTCAACCCCTCCCCCTGACATCTGGAGGTTTACCTAAGCTTTACAAGAAGAGGGGGTGTTTTGGTCTTAGGGATATTTTTTTTATAGTTTTGCCTATGTTGCTCATATCTTGTTGATATACTATTGTTTGTTGATCTGAATAAATTAGAAATTCATTTTTTTCCTAAGGAGGGTCCAAACCAGAATGTAATCTCAGAGAAGATAAGAACTCTTGGACCATATGTAAACATTATGATGTCATCTACATGTTTTTAACTACAGCCCCTATTGCCTCCAGCCAGCTTGGCCAATCAGGAGGAGTTGTAGGAAATGCAGCCAGAAAAAAATCAGGCTCTGGGTTCCTTCACTCTTTCCTAAACACTGAACCAGGCCCTAGAAGTTGATCAAAGGGTTACCTATAAATAATATAGGAAAAGTGAGCAGAAAGAGACCCCCTCCTTTCATAATAGTAGGATCTGATAAAACAAAAAACAAGTTGAGAAACACTGCATTACATTATTGGATTTTCACAGGATGGTAGTGGCCATTCCCCTAAAAGAGGATTTAGGCTAAAACAGTGGCAGATAATTTATCAGTACTTATTCAACTTCAGTGGAATTTTTGTATTCAGAAGCCGTATGGGAGAAAATACAAATTGCTGAAAAGAGATTTAATTAAGGTAGTTTTCCCTCCCTGCACTGCCTGTGGGCATGTTGGAAG